TTGCCACACAAAATTCCCCAGGCCACACATCACCACCTTTCAACAAGGCAGAGCTGAAAGATCTAGGGAGAGGTTTAAGCCACAAAATGATGATCTAAATTGAAGTTAAATTTTCATTTGCTTCAAAACACAGCACTATCAAGATCTTGGTTCTCTCTCATGCTCTTCTCTGACGCTATGCTTTAGAATACAAATCAAGGCAGAAAAATGTATTTGTGTGATGACTTTAACTAAATCAATAGTTACAATAATCTCAAAAAAATCTGATATTTAGGCACATTTTTGGACAGCCTTTTTAATCTGAAAGGCTTTGACCAAACTCAGCAGAGGGAAGATTTGGCAACAATGAGTAGAATGTAGGTATAAAAAAATGAGCAGCTCAGGTCTGGGCAGCTGAGGCTAAAATTCATGTGTTGTGTGTTGACTGCTGCATGAAAAACGCATGAACAATGATACTCTGTACAGAGCTTTGGTATCTATCCTGTGTGTGCTGGATCTTGGAAGCTGGCACTGTATTGCTGGTGTAGAAGATACAAAAGGAAAGTGCTCAAGTTGGAGGAATTAAACTTCTATAATTAGAAATGGTCTGTTAAAATTACGTGCCACATGGCAAGCCTATGAAGCTTGGCGTGTGGAGAGCGTAATGGCAATGATTTACAATTAACCACCACGTTGCAAATCATTCCTTAGCTGTTTTCTATTATGAAATTTGGAGAGTTGTAAAATGCATTTGTGCTACTTTATTTCCTTTTGAAATGGTAATTGCTACTGCTGAGGGGCAGTACTTAGTGCAGAAAATGAAGTGTGCAGCATAGGGAGGAACTTGTTTCTGAGGAACTGCTGAGGAATTGTAATGATCTGAAAAAACTGCTTTCTTGAAACACATAAAGGCAAAAGAGCTTCATTTATGAAACTCCAACCAAATAAATAACAAAATAAAATAAGACACAATTTTTTTTTTTTTTTTTTGTGCAAGGGCCAATGCTTACTACTTTGTTGCTGACTGCGTTTTTTCCCCATCAAAGTAGGAACAGTGAATTGACACTGGGTAAAACTCATAAGCCAATGGCTTGAGGGAAATGCAGATGTATGGAAATGTGATAGGAATGCCCTAAGGTAACGGGGTTTGAGCCAATGCATTTGAAAATTATCAAGTATGCTTCCAACTACCAGCCTGTTTTAGATACCTAGTATGGAATTGACAGTGGTATGGCCCTGGGGAGCTGGATGAAGTTTGACTTTTGTGTCTGAGGAACAGAGTCTGTGCAGCCTAAGTGGAGAAAGCAGGCATGTTCTAACTAAGGGATAAGTTCCCCCCTTACAGTTTCCCCCTTGATTGTGATTGTAAAAAGGACTGTGTTTATGAGTAGCTTTTATGGAAGGATATATTAAAGAAAGCAAGGGGTGAGGCTTCTGAGGTCTTAAATTTGCTAACTTGTGACAATAATCATGATCTCTCAGTAATAAAGTAGGTTATCTAGCTCAGGTCCTCAGTTTAAAGTTAATATCTTTGAAAGCCAGATGATTGACTGTAATTTTGCTGATAGTGCTTTGCTGGTAGCAGTAAATACAAACAGCTGCAGCACTTTTCATCAGAAGTGTCAGAGTGCTTTCTGCACCTTTAATCAATTAATTTTTATGAGATGGTGGCATGGTTATTTCCCTTCCTCTACTGGAGGAACTGAAAGGATCAGGGCAGCAACCACAAAGTATGCAGCATTTAGTGCAATAGCAAAGACTCACAATGCCTGGGTCTAGAAGTGTGACTTTCCAGAATTATTTTACAGTTAATATAGAGGAGACAGGCATAGTCATAATTGTCCTTTCATAAATACATTTGAACTGGCACGGCATCTTAGAATGACAACAGACTGAGTTGGTCCGTCTTGACACTCAGGAAAAGAAGCAGTTGTATTGGATTGACTTGGCTAAACAAGTAACTCACAGTTGAGTTACAAAGCTAAAAGGCAGTATACAGCAGCTGAAGCCAGGAATGGCTCAGAACAAGTAATTTAGCAGCACTGTTCAGGAATGTAGGGATGATGTTAAAAAAGCCAGTGTTCAGCTAGAGTTGAGACTTGTGAGGGATGTCAAACTGCTAGTGAAGGTATGAACAAGGAAAATGTGGGACTGCTGCTGGATTCAGCTGGTGATTTAGTGGCAGCAAACACAGGCAAGGCTGAGGCACTCAGTGCCACCTTTGCCTCAATCTTTACTAACGGGGCCTCCCAAGCTCTCTGTGCTTTGCAGCAGGGCTCAAGGAGGAGGAGAGTGACCAGCATCAAGTATAAGTTGAAAAAAAGAGAGATTTAGACCAGAACTAAGGAAAAATTTTCTCCCCATGAAGGTGGTCTGACAGTGGCATCGACCGTG